CGCCGTGACCATCTTCTATATACCAGACCACCCCCAATCTAGCAAATGCTAGAGCACTCCCGAAGGAACAGGATAGTTCTAGAAACGTGGCGTGGCACTAGTCACGTGACCTTCGTGACGCAACACTGCCCCCTCCTTAGTATTGTTCGTCCCGAACAATTAACAAGAACTTAATTAAATGTACAGAATTACAATTCAACAAAGTCTCTTAATTTTACGGGACGTATCTTCTTCCGTACTGGTCTCCGTCTCGTTGGCTTCTGCTTCATGTGGGGTTCATCAGGAAATGTTCTATCGTCGATAACAGTCACATCAGTGGTAGTAACTTCACCAAGAGCTTCACCGTTTCTCTTCTCAAAACTGAGCAGAGTTTCTTCTTCTTTCAGGTGACACCTCTTCAGCAGTGTCATTTGTTCCTTTGTTCACTTCGTCGCAACTGAGATGTCCTGGACCGTGATAACGCCAAAGCCTGTTGTCATGCACCACTTTTGGCTTACTTCGCCGACCACATTTTACCCGGAAAGTCACGTCTGAGAGATGATCCACTATGTCATATGGGTCTTCCCATGGAGAAGACAACTTAGGAGATTTTCCTTTGGTCCTCCTGGGATTGTACAACCACACCTTGTCTCCTGGTTCAAAGCTGACTTCAGTAGATATCTTATCATAAGTTAACTTCATCAAATCAGCAGACGTTTTCAAGTTTGAACGCATTTGATGGTGAATATCATCCATCCTTTCCAATAACACTTTCACAAACTCTGACACATTCTCAGGCAACTCTTCATAAGGTGGGCATTCTGTTAACAGATCCATTGGCAACCGAAGTTCCCAACCAAACATCAACTTTGCTGGAGTGTATCCAGTGGTTTCATGCTCTGCTGTCCTATAGGCCATCAACAGTGGAGGGAGTAAGACATCCCAGTCATCTTGACGGCTATTACAAAACTTTGCCAGTTCCTGTCCCAATGTCCAGTTGTACTTTTCTACCATCCCACCAGACTGTGGGTGAAGTGGCGTTGTCCTGGTCTTTCGGATGCCAAACAACCTGCAGCATTCTTGGAACATAGCTGATTCAAAGTTACGGCCTTGATCTGGATGCAGTTCATATGGCATACCAAATCTGAAGAAGAAGACACTATTAGCCGAAGCTACAGTTGTAACTTCCTGGTTTGGTATAGCATATGCCTCAGGCCACTTGGTGAAATAATCC